AGATGAATGGATCCAGATGTGGTATACACAATGGCATACTGCTCATCTACAAAAACAACTAGATGAACTCTTGCTATATGTAACAACATGGATGCATCTGGAGAGAATTATGCTAAGCAAAATTAGTCAGAAGGAGAAAATAATAGGACGATTTCACTTATATATGAAATAGAAACAAAACAAAACAACAGACAAAACTAAACCAAAGCAAACCTTAGAAATCTGACAGTAGAGTTCAGACTACCAGAGACAGAGAGAAAGGGTGGGGTTGAGGAGCAAAATATGGAGGGAGCCCAGTGAACTATAGTGGAGGACTCTGGGTGCCTTGGTGGTGTGGTAACATATATCCGAAGAGGTATGTACCTCTGAGTCATATAGAGTGTTATAAGCCAGTGATGCCTCAATTTAGAAAAATACATATTTTTATTTATTTTTTTAAATAATAAATTTTATTTTTATATTCCCCCATACAATTGCAAACCCTCCATTCTGACCCCAATCCCTCCCCTCCAGCCCCCCCACCCCCCAAAAAGTGTCTCTGGTTCATAGTTTTTTGTTGATTTTGATTTTCACTTTCTTATAGTTATTCATTTTCCTGGTCCCTTATTTAAGTTTTCTAGATTCCTGCTATGAGTGAGACCATCCGGTATTTTTCTTTTTCTTTTTGGCTTATTTTGCTGAGCATGATCCCTTCCAGCGCCATCCATGTGCTGCAAATTGCATGTGTTTATCTTTTTTGAATGCTGAGTAATATTCCATGGTATGTATGTACCACATCTTCTTGATCCAGTCATCTATTTTTGGGCATTTGGGCTGTTTCCAAAGCTTACCTATTGTAAACAGTGCTGCTATAAACATAGGGGTGCAGGTGTTCTTTGGAATTGATGTTTCTGTGTCCTTTGGGTAAATATCTAGGAGTGGAATTGCTGGATCATATGGAAGCTCTATGTTTAGTAGGTCCAGAAATCTCCACACAGCTCTCCATAGTGGTTGGACCAGTTTGTACTCCCACCAACAGCGTAGAAGAGTTCCTTTTTCTCCACAACCTCGCCAACATTTGCTGTTGCTAGTTTTTTTAATATGTGCCATTCTCACTGGTGTAAGATGGTATCTCATGGTAGTTTTGATTTGCATTTCCCTGATTACACGTGATGTTGAACATTTTTTCATATGCCTGTTGGCCATTTGCATTTCCTCTTCAGAGAAGTTTCTTTTTAGCTCTTCTGCCCATTTTTGGACTGGATTATTTTCTTTGTTGTTGTTGAGTCTCATCAGCTCTTTGCAGATTTTTGTGATCAGTCCTTTATCATTAGTGTTGGGTACAAAAATGTTCTCCCAGTCGGTGGGGTTTCTCTTTGTTTTTGTTATTGTTTCTTTTGCTGTGCAGAAGCTCTTTAATTTGATGTAGTCCCAGCTGTTTATCTTTGCCTTCACTATCACTGCTTTGGGTGATGTGTCTGTAAAGATGTCTTTGATGTGCAAATCACGTAGTGTTTCGCCTATATTTCCTTCTATGTATTTTATGGTTTCAGGTCTTATGTCTAGTTCTTTAATCCATTTTGAGTTGATTTTTGGGTATGGTGTGAGGTAGTGGTCAAGCTTCATTCTTTTGCATGTAGCAACCCAGTTTTCCCAGCACCATTTATTGAACAAACTTTTTTTGCTCCAATGCATAGTCTTTGCTCCTTTGTCAAAGATTAGTTGACCATAAATCTGTGGGTTTATTTCTGGATTTTCTATTCGATTCCATTGGTCTGTATGTCTGTTCTTGTTCCAATACCATGCAGTTTTGATGATTATGGCTTTGTAGTATAGTTTGAAGTCTGGGAGTGTGATGCCTCCATTTCCTTCTTTTTTTTTCAGTAGAACTTTGGCTATTTGGGGTTTTTTGTGATTCCATATGAATTTCATCAATAATTGTTCTATTTCTTTGAAGAATGACATTGAAATTTTGATTGGAATAGCATTGAATCTGTATATTGCTTTTGGTAGGATAGCCATTTTAATAATGTTTATTCTTCCAATCCATGAGCAGAGGATGTCTTTCCATTTCTTGTGTCTTCTTCTATTTCTTTTAACAGTGTTTTATAGTTTTCTTTGTATAGGTCCTTTACCTCTTTTGTTAGATTTATTCCCAAATATTTGATTTTTTTTGTTTCAATACTAAAAGGGATGTTTTTTTTTTTATTTCTTCTTCTTCAGATTTATTGTTTGTGTATAGGAAGGCTACTGACTTTTGCGTGTTGATTTTGTATCCTGCCACTTTACTGAACTGATTGATGAGTTGAATAATTTTTTCTGTGGAGTTTTTAGGGTTCTCTATGTATATTATCATATCATCTGCAAATAGTGATAGTTTGACTTCTTCTTTTCCTATTTGGATTCCTTGGATGTCTTTCTCTTGTCTTATTGCTCTGGCTAGGACTTCCAGTATTATATTGAAAAGCAGTGGTGAGAGTGGACATCCTTGTCTTGTTCCAGATCTTAATGGCATTGCTTTCAGCTTTTCACCATTGAGAATGATACTGGCTGTTGGCTTGTCATAGATGGCCTTTATGATGTTGAGGTATGTTCCTTGTATCCCAAGAATTTCAAGGGCTTTCATCATGAATGGGTGTTGCACTTTGTCAAAAGCTTTCTCAGCATCTATTGATATTATCATATGGTTTTTATATTTCTTTTTGTTGATGTGTTGGATAACGTTGATTGATTTTCGGATGTTAAACCATCCTTGTGTCCCCTGAATGAATCCTACTTGGTCGTGGTGAATTATCTTATGGATACATGGTTGGATTCTGATAGCTAAAATTTTATTGAGGATTTTTGCATCAGTGTTCATTAGGGAGATTGGCCTGTAGTTTTCCTTTTTTGTGTTGTCCTTGTTCGGTTTTGGTATTAGTGTAATGTTGTCTTCATAGAACTTGTTTGGTATTGTCCCTTCCTTCTCAATTTTTTGGAAGAGTTTGTGAAGGATAGGCACTAATTCGTCTCTGAATCTTTGGTAGAATTCATTTGTAAATCCATCAGGTCCTGGGCTTTTGTTTTTGGGGAGGTTTTTGATTACCATTTCAATTTCGCTCATTGTAATTGGTCTGTTTAGGTGTTCTATTTCTTCTTTATCTAGCTTTGGGTGATTGTAGAGTGTAGGAATTTGTCCATCTCCTCTAGATTGTTGAATTTGTTTCCATATAACTGTTCATAGTAGTTACTGATTATTCTTTTGATTTCTGCTGTGTCTGTTGTGATTTCTCCTCTTTCATTTATGATCCTATTTATTTGTGCTTTCTCCCCTTTTTCCTTTGTGAGCCTGGCTAGGGGTTTGTCTATTTTATTGATTTTTTCCAAGAACCAGCTCTTGGTTTCATGATCTTTCGGATTGTTTTTTTAGTTTCAATTTCATTTATTTCTGCTTTGGTTTTTGTTATTTCTTTTCTTCTATTGGTTTTGGGGTTTTTTTTTGTTGTTCTTTTTCTAGATCTCTGAGCTTCGAGATTAGGTTGTTTCTTTGAGTTCTTTCTTGTTTTTTGATGTGAGCTTCTATTGCTATATATTTTCCTCTTATCACTGCTTTTGCTGCATCCCATACATTTAGGATATTGGTGTCCTCCTTGTCATTCAATTCAAAGAATTTTTTAATTTCTTCTTTGATCTCCTTGTTAGTCCAGTGGTCTTCCAGTAGTGTGGTTTTTAATCTCCATGAGGTAGGAGTGTTCCTTGCCTTCTTTTTATGGTTTATTTCTAGTTTGATGCCTTCATGGTCAGAAAAGATGGTTGGTATGATTTCAATCTTGGTGTATCTGCTGATGTTTGTCTTGTGCCCCAGTATGTGATCGATCCTGGAGAATGATCCATGTGCGCTTGAGAAAAATGTGTACTCCGTTTTTTTTGGGTTTAGTGTTCTATAGATGTCTGTTAAGCCCAAATGCTCTAGGTCCTTATTTAGAGCTTTAGTTTCTTTACTTATTTTTTGTCTTGTTGATCTATCCATTGTTGATAGTGGTGTGTTGAAGTCTCCCACTACGTATGTATTTTCTCTGATGTCTGTTTTCAGAGAGGACAACAGTTGTCTGATATATTTTGGTGCTCCTTCGTTTGGTGAATATATGTTAATGAGTGTTATTTCTTCTTGAAGTATTGTCCCCTTGATCATAATGTTGTGACCATTGGGGTCTCTTTTTATTTTTTTGAGTTTGAAGTCTGTTTTATCTGATATAAGTATAGCTGTTCCTGCTTTCTTTTTGGTCCATTCGCTTGTAGGATTGTTTTCCATCCTTTAACTTTGAGTCTATTTTTATCTTTTGTAGCTAACGTGTTTCCTGGAGACAGCCAAAGGTTGGGTTTTGTTTCTTAATCCAGGCTGCAACTCTGTGTCTTTTTATTGAGAGTTTAGTCAAAAATACATATTTTTTAATTCTTAGCAGCCTTGGAACTTAATATTTTTTTTCATTCTTTCTTAATCTGCTAGGCAAACCATAGTAATGTACATAATTTCATTTCATGAACTACTGTGATTGAATATTTTTTACTCTTGCTTGTCACTTAATTTTTTCTTCTATTTCTATAGTACATTGATATTTTTAGTTATACATCTGTGTTGTTATGGCCTTTTTAATGTATAATGTCATATTGTAAATATTTTTCTTTGTTAAATTTAAACCGTCTTACATTTTTTTAACTTACAAAGTGAAAATATATAATAAAATTCATCTTTTTTTTTCCCCATTTTAACCTTTTTTCCCCCTTTGGTGTTTGCAACTTATATTTTGTGATTCTAATTCTAACTTTTAGTCTGTCATTACTATTATCATTAAAAAACTAACTTTATAAGTACCAAGGTAGATTCCAACCAATGAACCATTGAAATGGGTTGGATAAAATAATTTATGTAAGTTATGTTCCAGCAACTTATGCTGTATGTGTGTTTTTGTGTGTAAGTGTGTATAAAATAACATTGTTCTATTTATATGCAGTTTAAATTTATTTCTACTTTTGGTCCTCAGATCATTCATAATTTCACAAGACAGATTCAGACCAAAATCAAAGATCTTCTACAGCAAATGGAAGAAGGACTGAAAACGGCTGATCCGCATGATTGCTCTGCTTACACTGGTTGGACAGGTGAGACTGTGGGTATAAGTAACTGATATGCTTTATGTTTGGATTAGGACATTATCAGACTTAACTCTGAAGATTTTTTCCCTTTCATTTTATTTTTTTAATATAATTTATTTATATATATTTTACACATCATCGTTCATTTTTGTGTGATGTTTGCTTTCTCCTCTCAGGTGTAGTCCCTATAGGATTCCCACCACCAATTCACTCGTGCACCATCGCCATAGTCCCTTGTGTGCTACCTGTTCCTTTTTTGTCTCTCTCCCTCCCTCTCTTGCAGAATGTCTCTGATTTATAGTTCCCTGTTAATTTGGGGGAGAGTTATTATTTTTCCCCCATCCCTTATTTGGTTCCACTATTTTCTTCCTATAAGTGAAACCATGCCATATTTTTCTTTTTCCTTCTGACTTATTTCACTGAGCATAATCCCTTCTAGCTCCACCCATGTTGCTGAAAATGACATGAGTTTATCTTTTTTGATTGCTGAACAGTATTGCATTGTGTATATATACCACATCTTCTTGATCCAGTCATCTATTTTTGGACATTTGGGTCGTTTCCATATCTTACCTATTATAAACAGTGCTGTAAAAAAATGTAGGAAAAGATAAACAGCTGGGATTACATCAAACTAAAAAGCTTCTGTACAGCAAAAGAGATACTAACCAAAACATAGAGATACCGTACTGATTGGGAGAAAATCTTTGCACTCCATACAACTGATAGGGACTAATCACAAAGATCTCCAAAAAACTCACATGACTCAACAAATACAAAGTAAACAATCCAGTCAAAAAGTGGACAGAAGAGCAAAAAAAAAAAAAAAAAAAAAAACTTCTCCAAAGATGAAATGCAAATGGCCAACAAGTATATGAAACAATGTTCAGTGTTCCTTATATCAGAGAAATGCAAATCAAAACCACAATGAGAATGGTACATATTAAAAAAACTAGGAACTGCAAATGTTGGCGAGGATGTGGATAAAAAGGAACTCTCCTGCACTGCTGGTGGAATGCAAACTGGTCCATCCACTATGGAAAGCTGTGTAGAGGTTCCTCAAACCACTAAAATGGAGCTACCATATTACCCATAAATTCCACTCCTAGGACTCTACCCAAATGATACAATTATTTAATTCAAAAGGATACCTGCACCCCTATGTTTATTCTCTTTCATTTTAATTGCAATCCTGACCTGTCCTCGTTGATGAGATGTTTTAGAATTTTATTTCTAAAGAAATACTTTCTGGGCCTCCTTGGTGGCACAAGAGGTTAAGCACAGCACTGTGAAGCTATCTACAGCCTTTGCAGCATAAGTTTGATCCCAAGCCACCAGACCACTCCTGTCTCGCCTACATCTCCCATCAGCAGTGTACTTCTGTCAGTCTGCCTATTCTGCTCCCCACCCTGTCTCTGGTGAATCCTCTCACCGCCCTGTACCTCTGGCCTATACCCCAGTTCTTGTATGCATAAATAAATAAATATTTTAAAAAAAGAAATATTTTCTGCCTGAAGTTGAACTTCAAAATGCAGTATGTTGAGAAGGCTCCCGGAGGAGCCAGAGGTGAGCTGGGAAGTTCACCCACACCAGGCCCCTTCTGGCCTGCAGTCCGAGCCCAGAGAGGAAGCAGGAACCCACCGCCAGGGCAGATCGGGTGTGCAGGGAGTGCATCCTGCATCGCCTTTTTAGAACAGGGACCTTTCTTCAGTAAAGCCTGCTTGAAAATGGCAGATGACTCCTGCAGGAGCCAGAGGTGAGCTGGGAAGTTCGCCCAAGATGCCGGCCAGTACCAGCAATACAGTGTCCCAATGCATATGGCAAATTAGAAAACAGACAGTAGGGAGTAGAAAAACCACACGCAACCCAGCAACTCCTCAGGAAAAAAGCACACCACCAAAAGAAAACCAACACCCAGATTGCAACAACAGTAACTGGGAAGAACTTCTGAGCCTTACAGAAAGAGAATTTAAAAATGCCATGATTAAAAAAACTGACAAAAGTCATAAAGGAGGCCTCCCCGGTGGCGCAGCGGTTGAGCGCTGGGTTGCGAAGCTGCCCGCAGCCTTTGCAGTGCCGGTTCGATCCCTGGCTGCTCCCCGGCCACAGGAGGAGGGTCCCACATGGCGCGCAGACCTCTCCTGCCGCCCGCTGCTCCCCTCAGCAGTGTACTTCGGTCCTTCTGCCTTCTTTGCTCCCCGCTCTGGCTCTGGTGAATTCTCTCACCCTCCCGCACTTCTGACTGTTCCCAGTGCTTGTATAAATAAATAAATAAATAAATGAAAATAAATCTTTAAAAAAAAAAAGTCATAAAGGAAAACAATGATAAGGGAAAAGTAATCAACGATCAGAAGAATGAAATTGAATCCCTAAAGAGGGAAGTAAAAGAAATGCAGGAGATCAGAGAATTAATGGAGGTGCTAAAGAACTCTTGGAAAGGCAATAAAAGCAAAATAGATGAAATGGAAGAACGAATAAGTACTCTTGAAGACACAGAAATAAAAAGAACCAAAACAGAAAAGGAAAGAGAAGTACGAAGGAAAAAGAATGAAGAAAGACTTCAGGAACTATCTGACTCCATGAGGAAAGGAAATATAAGAGTTATAGGAATCCCAGGAGGAGAGGAGAGGCATGTAGGAACAGAGAAAATATTCAAGGAGATAATTGAAGAGAAATTCCCAAACGTGAAGAAGGAGCTGAAAATTGATATACAAGAAGCAAGAAGAACACCAAACTTCCACGACGAAAGGAAAAATACAGCAAGACACATAATATTAAAGCTCCCAAGAATCCAGGACAAGGAAAAAATAATGAAGCTGACAAGAGGGAAGAAACAGATAACATTCAAAGGAAAACCAATCAGGCTGACATCAGACTTCTCCGAAGAAACACTACGGGCAAGAAGAGAGTGGAGGGACATAATCAACAGACTCCAAGAAAACAGATGCCAACCAAGAATACTCTATCCCACAAAGCTCTTCTTCCTCTATGAAGTAAGAATAAGGACCTTTCCAGACAAACAGAAACTCTGGAATTTCATTACGACTAAACCCCCACTCCAAAAAATACTACAGGGGTCCTAAAACCAGAACCCCAGAGGGACGAATAAAAACAAAAGAAGGCCAAAAAAAAAGAGTTATTAAAAGAATAAATAAATAAAATCAAAGGAAAGACAAACACAATGGCAAATACAGATGCTAACATATCAATATTAACTCTAAATGTAAATGGACTAAACTCTTTAATAAAAAGACACAGAGTCGCAGGCTGAATTAAGAAACAAAAACCAACCTTTTGCTGTCTCCAGGAAACACATTTTGCTACAAAAGATAGAAATAGACTCAAAGTTAAAGGATGGAAAACAATCCTACAAGCAAATGGACCAAAAAAGAAAGCAGGAACAGCATACTTATATCAGGTAAAATAGATTTCAAACTCAAAAAGGTAAAAAGCGACCCCAACGATCACTACATTATGATCAAGTGGACAATACTTCAAGAAGAAATAACACTCATTAACATATATTCACCAAACGAAGGAGCACCGAAATATATCAGACAACTATTGTCATCTCTGAAAACAGACATCAGAGAAAACACATACATGTTTTCAACACACCACTATCAACAATGGATAGATCAACGACACAAAAAGTAAGTAAAGACAGGAACAAGGCAAGGATGTCCAGCCTCACCACTGCTTTTCAATATAATTCTGCAAGTCCTAGCCAGAGCAATAAGACAAGAGAGACATAAAAGGAATCCAAATAGCAAAAGAAGAAGTCAAACTATCACTATTTGCAGATGATATGATAATATACATAGAGAACCCCAAAAACTCCACTGAAAAAGTAATTCAACTCATCAATCAGTTCAGTAAAATGTGGCAGGATACAAAATCAACACGCAAAAGTCAGTAGCCTTCCTATACACAAACAATAAATCTGAAGAAGAAGAAATCAAAAAATCCATCCCTTTTATTATCGAAACAAAAAAATCAAAAACTTGGGAATAAATCTAACAAAAGAGGTAAAGGACCTATATAAAGAAAACTATAAAACACTGTTAATAAAATAGAAGAAGATGCAAAGAAATAGAAAGACATCCCCTGCTCATGGATTGGAATAATAAACATTAAAATGGCCATCCTACCAAAAGCAATATACAGATTCAATGCTATTCCAATCAAAATTTCAATGTCATTCTTCAAAGAAATAGAACAATTATTGATGAAATTCATATGGAATCACCAAAAAATCCCGAATAGCTAAAGCTCTCCTGAAAAAAAAAAAGAAGGGAATGGAGGCATCACACTCCCAGACTTCAAACCATACTACAAAGCCATAATCATCAAAACTGCATGGTATTGGAACAAGAACAGACATACAGATCAATGGAATCGAATAGAAAATCCAGAAATAAACCCACAGATATATGGTCAACTAATCTTTGACAAAGGAGCAAAGACTATGCATTGGAGCAAAAAAAGTTTGTTCAATAAATGGTGCTGGGAAAACTGGGTTGCTACATGCAAAAGAATGAAGCTTGACCACTACCTCACACCATACACAAAAATCAACTCAAAATGGATTAAAGAACTAGACATAAGATCTGAAACCATAAAATACATAGAAGGAATTATAGGCGAAACACTATGTGATATGCACATCAAAGACATCTTTACAGACACATCACCCAAAGCAGGGATAGTGAAGGTAAAGATAAACAGCTGGGACTACATCAAATTAAAGAGCTTCTTCACAGCAAAAGAGACAATAACCAGAACAAAGAGAAACCCCACCGACTGGGAGAACATTTTTGCACATAACACTAATGATAAAGGACTGATCACAAAAATCTGCAAAGAGATGATGAGACTCAACAACAACAAAGAAAATAACGCTGTCAAACAATGGGCAGAAGAGCAAAAAAGAAACTTCTCTGAAGAGGAAATGCAAATGGCCAACAGGCAGATGAAAAAATGTTCAACATCACTTGTAATCAGGA